TTGCGAAAGCATGTTGCAACATACTGTATACAACTAAATCTTAATGATATGGAAGTATCGGATCTTGCCACATTTATGGGGCATTCCGAAAAGATTCACAAGGATCATTATCGACAGCCGTTAGCAACCAGAGATATATTGCAAATTTCCCAATACCTGGAAGCTGTTCAAGGAAATGACCAACATGCAGGTAGCGAATCTTCAACGGAAAGTAATATAGACGACGAATTATATGACGACCAAACAAAAGACAGTGATAGAGATGAAGAAAAGGAAAATGCATGTTTAGGTAATAATATCTATATTTTTATGTATATATAAATACATAGTTATTTGAATAGTTACTTGTGTATATACATACTGAATGATTCTGAAATTATGTATTGCATATATGTACACAGAGTGTTTTATTTTAACTTTCGCACTGTAATATCTTTGATGATTTTATTGAAAAATATTTTAGATAAAAGTTGTAGGATTTGGAATGGGCCATCAGATAAGCTAACTAATTTTTGGGTTTGACGTTCACTTTGGACCTAATAAGATCCAACTTGATTTTTTAAATAAAAACTAAATTTTTATTATACCATCTTTTTCTATTAATTAATTTGAACAACTTTTGTTTGAAACATTTTTCTATTTGCCTAATACTTTTTGAGATATTCAAGGAAAACTTGATAATTTTTTCAATATTCAGCTTACGATATCTTTTATTCAACTTATGATAATTGTTTGTCCACAGGAAAAAGTGGTACAGGACTTTTTGATTTGATTTTGGCTACGGTCGTGACGCTACAAATGCTTCGAAGCATTCCTTTTCTCTTTTCTTTCAATGAAGAAAGAAAGAGAAGAAGAACGCTCCAAAGCATTTGTAGCGTCACGTTGGTTGTAGCCTTCGTCTTAAGAATATGCTATTGCAATAGTACTCGAATTTTTTTTAAATATTTGTACATGCATTAAAGTTCCAAGGAGATACGTACATAAATATTTAAAAAAATTAAAACACTATGGCAATAGCATATTCTTGAGACAAAATCAAATTGAAAAGTTTTGTACCACTTTTTCCTCCGACAAACAATTGGGATATCATAAGCTAAATATTGAAAAAGTTACTAATGTACGAAAGTTTAAAAGCTAAAAATTAAAAATGTATAAGGAGATACAATTAAAAAAATTATTGTAGTTTTAATTATTATAAAATTACAATTTACCATAAATTAAACTTTTAATCTGATTTAAATTTATTGTAACTTTATTATAATTAAAACTTTATAATGGTTTTTAAAAATGTTTTTCTTTATAAATTTCCAACTGCTTCCAAACTTTTGAACGACAGTAATATAACATAGACAGGGTGAGTGTATATATACATATATGTATAGTTATTTGCATTTAAAATATTTAAATACAACTCGATCACCTATAGTTTTTAACATGTAAATATTTTTACTATTGTGAAAAATTGTATTTATCACAGTGTATTGTATCACTTCTAAATGCGCAAATTTTAATTTTTTTTTACTTGATATGTTTACTTGATGTTTTGTATTTTAAAACTATAATATAGCTCTGACATTGTATGTTTGGATTTATATCTATTAAAGCTTAGGAACCTTTTATTTTAATAAAAGCTGCGAAAACTGCATATACTACAATGTTTGAAAATTTATAGCATAAAGCTCGTGTGCATATAAGATGGATCAAACTAAACAAGGAATTTGTATACCATTTTTTGCAAACAAAAATTATGTCTTGAATTATTAAATGCTCTGTATTTTAATATTGTAATTTTAATATAGTACGTGCAATTTTTGCAACTTTTATTGAAATAAAAGGTTCTTAAGCTTTAATAGAGATAAAAATCCAAACATACAATGCCAGAGCTATATTATAGTGCTATATATATATATATATATATGTATATAATATTTTAATATTTAATATTATTGAGTAATATTATTGAAATATTTTTTAATTTTATATTTTAATTTTATATTCTTTTTTCCTCTTATATTTTATATTCTGTATGTGTACAGTTTATATTTGTTATATACAGGGTGTACTAGACTTACCGTATCACCCGTTAATGGCAGATTTCTGAGATCACTTGGAGACAAAAATCCTAATGTCAACATGTCGAGACTATTCTGTATATATTTACACTTACTTTTTTTAAATATTAATATAAATTATTTATTTCAGGTATAAATATACAATATACATTAGATGAGACACAAGATACATTACATCATACGGTTGAACATACAGATTCCAATAAAAAACGGAAACGATCCAGTAAATATTTTACTTCAATTTATTAGATATGTGAAAACTTATGTATGCCAGCCAGAAATAATTAGTCAAATCGACATTAACTCAATGTTGATGCGTTGATAAATGGTTGATGTCGAATATTGATTGATATTTTTGTCACTTTTAATTTCATTATTTTTTTTTACTAATCGAGCATAATTAATATTTCTGTAAGATTTTTATGTCCTTTGGTCAATTCTATATTGAATACATACTATATGTATGTATACATAGAATATTTTATTCTTTTTTACTTTGTATTAATTTAATATAGAGTTAGTCAAAAAAAAAATTAAAAAATTAAAATTTTATAGAAATATTTGTAATTGTTTGATTAACATTATATATAATTGTATAAAAACAATTATGATGAGAAACAAAGAAATTTAACAACCAATATTTGACTATTTATCGACGTATCGACGTCGAATTGATGTCGACTTGACTAATTATTTCTGATTGGGATACTTTAAACCTCCATATTAATAACACATTGCTTTCTTTGTAGCATCTCCTTACGGAAAAACAAAGAGAATCCGCTGGTCTGAGGAAGAGCAAGAAGCAGCACTTGAGGGATTTGCCAAATATATGGAAGAAAGAACATTACCATCGCTGAAAGATATACAAGAAATAAGAAAAAGATATAAATGTTTAAGTAAACGTACATCGCCACAAATTAAGACATGGCTCCATAACAAACAAAACCCAAAACCCAAAAAACGAAAAGCTGCAGAACAAAAAGCTGCAAAACAAAAAGCTGCA